TAATTGGTACAGAAACATAGAGATCAGATGATCAGCTTCCAGTGTGGGAGTATAAGAGGAAATCTAAATGGTTGCTCAGATGAATGTCAGGAATCTGAGAACCCTTGTGATCCTGAAGAGGGAAGGCTCTGAGTACTTAGATAAACTGGGACATTGAGTGTACTTTTCCTGCAGATCCCTATTCTCTCATTTCCTAACAGTGACAGCCTAGAAGACACCATCCAGACCAATGGTTCTCAACCTTCCTAATGCTGAGACCCTTTAACATAGCTCCTCATGGTGGTGACCCCAACCATAAAATTGTTGCCATTGCTACTTCATAACTGTAATTTTGCTACTATCATGAAATGTATTGTAAATATCTGATATGCAGGACATCTGAAGTTTGACCCCTGTGAAAGGGTCATTTAACCCCCCCCAAGGGGTCGAGACCCATAGGTTGAGAAATGCTGTTCTAAACTCTGGCTGTGAAAAATACATAGGCAGCTGTGTGTGATAGTATACTCCTGTAATCCCACCATTTGGAGATGAAGGCAGAAGAGTCAGAGTTCAAAGTCACCCTCAGCTCAGAGGCCAGCCTGGGCTACATGAGACCCTGTGGAAAAAAAGGAAGGAAAAGAAATACACAGAAAAGGGCATAGGGCATCTCTAGAAAGCTGAGGTGAAGCACTAGGGAGGGACCCCAAATTCCCTGTTCAAGCTTGCTAGGTGTCACCATACAAAAGATACCACTCTCCTTCCTCCTGCATGGATCCCAAGGTCTTGTCTATTTCTGAGCCTGTGTACCCACGAGTGCCCTGCCCCTTCACTAGCCCCTCCCCCAGGGATCTGACCCAGCCTATGGCAAGTTGCACACGCTCTCCTCCTATGAGACAAAGGCATGCTTCTGTCTGCATATGTCTTCATGTATTTCCTACACGGGAAATAGGTAGGAAAGAAATAGGCCATCTTCGTTTCTTTTCCTCTTTTTCTGATAACATTCTCCGACAAAAGCAACATACGAGAGAAGGACCATTTTGGCACACAGTTCAAGGTACAATCTATCCTGGCAGGGAAGTCAAGGCAGCTTGAAACAGCTGGTCCCATCCATCTACAAACAACAAGCAGAGAGGAACAAACAAGTTGATGCTTAGTTCCTGTCTTAGTCACTGATCTAATCACTGTGAAGAGACACCAGGACCTCAGCAACTCTCACAAAAGAAAGAATTCCAGTGGGGCTTGCTTAGTTCACTGTCATCAGTGGGGGGAGGCACAGTTTCATGGCAGCAGGTACTGGAGCAGTAGCTGAGATCTATATCCATAGGCAGAGAGAGAGATAGAGAGAGACAGAGAGACAGAGAGAGAGAGAGAGAGAGAGAGAGAGAGAGAGAGAGAGAGAGAGAGAGAGAGAGAGACTGGACCTGGCATGGGCTTTAGCAACATCAAAGCCCACCCCCAGTGACACACTTCCTCCAACAAGGCCACACCTGTTCCAAAAAGGCCACATCTAATCCTTCTCAAGTAGTGCCACTCCCTGAGACCAAGCAATCAAATATCTGAGCCTATGGGGGCCATGCTTATTCAAACCTCCACAGTTCTTTTTCATGCAGCCCAGGATTCCCTGACCATGGAATAACACTGCCCCCCACGGTGGGTGTGGCATGCCACCTGTACTACTTACTTTGTGCTGCTGTGATAAAACACCATGATCAAAAGCATCCTATGGAAAAAAGAGTTTATCTGGGCTTAAAGTACCAGAGGGAGAATCCATAGGGCAAGGGAAGGTTGGATCAGGAAGCTGAGAGATCAAATCTTTGGTGGCAGAGTGGAAGCAGAGAGAACAAACTAGAAGCCAGGCCAGGCTATGAACTCTCGTACTTCATCAAGGATTCACCTCCTGATGGTTCCATAACCTCCCTAGATAGCACCATCAACTGGGAACCACGTGTTCTCACACCTGAGCCTAGCACTAACCATCACCAGGTCCATATTTCTATTTCTTCTTACCAAATCCTGCAAACTCGGGGGCTTAAGCAAAGTCTTTAACTATAACTCAACAGAACTACTGCAGGCTAGCAAAAGGCTAAAATCAAGATGAGTTCTCACCTAGAGACTGATGAAAAATCTGCTTCCAAATGCTTTCTTGTTTTTGGAAGATGTCAGTTTGTTGCAGCTGCCGAGCTGAAAGTCTTTCTGATAAGAGTCTTCAGCAGGAGATCCTCTGTATCTTTCACCATACAGCCCCTTCAACAATCACTGAAACCTCATGACTCAGGGCCAACAAGATGGCTCAATGGGTAAAGATGTTTGCCTCCTGACCACCTGAGTTTGATTCCTGGGACCCACGTGGTGGACAGAAGAGCTGGCCAGACAGACTGAGTCTCCGCTAGAGAAACCTCAGTCCCTGAGCCGATCAGCACATTTATTATGAATACTTGAACAGGGAGGCAGGGTTATTGCATCAGCACTACGACTGTAGACTGAGGTGGGGGTAATTATATACAGATAAAAGAGGAGGCAGGACTTCTGGTATACCACTGGAGCAAGGAGAGGTTTCATCTGAGCAGGAGCACTGTCTGTAGGGGGGCAGTCTTCAGGGTGTAAATTTCTGGAAGGAGAACATTGCCGCAAACATCTTCTGGAAACAGTATCAGCATCTTCACATGGATCAGAAGAGAAGGCTTTGCCATTTCTCTTGGAGCCTCACCTCCAGGAAGGTGGGAGTGGAGTGGCGTTGCCGTTCTGAGACAGGATCATTGATGTATTCATGCCCATGTCAACAACACGGATTCAGTGAGGACTTCACCTGGCCTTCCTCTATTTCCATTGCCATAGGACTGCAGGTTGTACATTTTAGCCCACTCTATAGGTGGCAGGCTACCAGTCTCAAAGCAGGTGACTGGTGTTCCTATGGATGACATCCAGGCTTGTCCTCTAACCTTCACATGATCACTCACACTCACATCTATATACATACACATGAACACACGGGCATTTTTTGAAAGGATGGACACACATTTAAGCTTTGATATGGTGCGCTAGTTCCCATCACTGTGACAAAAGACCTGAGACAACTTCAAAGGAGAAAGCACTTACTTTGGCTCAGTGATTCTAGTGTCTAGCAGCGTGGCGCTAGGTGGTTGGGCCTCTAGACAGTAAACTAGGATAAGAGCACAGTGAAACAAACCACTCACCTCAAGGTGGTCAGAAAGCACAAGGAAGAGAGATCAATATCCCCCTTCAAAGACACGCACTCAATGATCTAGCTTCCTTTTATTATCCCCGTTCTTCTAAAGCAGTGGCTCTCAACCTGAGGGGCGTGACCCCCCATGGGGTTCACATACCAGATATTCTGCATATCAGATATTTTCATTATGATTCATAACAGTAGCAAAATTAGAGTCATGAAGTATCAATGAAAATAATTTTATGGTTGGGATCACCACAACATGAGGAACTGTCATAGCAATGGAAAGGTTGAGAACCATTGTTCTAAAGGTTCCGCCACCTCCTACCAGTGAGGTTATCTGGAGATAAGCTTCAACCAAAAAGCTTTTGGGAGACATTTCAAATCCAAACCATTGCAGGTGGCTTGATATGCAGCCACAGTATCTGAAGAATCGTCTAAAGGGGAGGTCTGTCCCTAGCTGGTGAAGGAGTTATGACCATCTGAGCCAATCGGAGTCCTTGGGTACTCTTGTGGGACATTCTGCACTCTTCCTAGCCGTACCTTATTTATGCCTATATTTCACCACATAATGCCAGGTGCCTTGGGACACTGGCTCAAGCTGCCTGACTGGGAGCTGAGAATCACCCGTTCATCCTCAATAGCCCAGCCAGCTCCCAGGCAACCCCAAAGACAGAGCCACCTAGATGACTTGCAGCTGGGCCTAAAAAAAAAAAAGAACTGCTCCATCTAAACTGCCAACTACAGAATCACAAGGCAAGTAAATGACCACTTAAGGAACTTCCTTGTGAGTTGCTTTATTCTTAATGCAAGTGAACTGACAGAAAAAATAACAAACTCTTTTCAAAAATAAGTTCAGTTAGTTCTCTCTGACCTCCTGAGATGCTGTTTACATTAGGCTTTTAGTCCTGTGACTTAATGCCTAACGTAGAGACCTTACAATCTGTCTCCATGAGCCTATAAATCCCAAGAGGCTGAAGCAGGAAGGTCACAAGTTCAAATCTTGCCTGGGCTCCAGAGAGCTGGGGAACATAGCTCAGTGGTAGAGTGCTTGCTTAGCACAAGCAAAGCAGGTGCGGTCTCCAGGAGGACATGAAAAGAGGGCGGACAGATGGCTCGGAGGTTAAAAGCATCTGCTACTCCTGCAGCAGGCCCAGATTCAGGGCTCGGCACTCCCATCAGGCGGCTATCCACCACCTCCAATTCCAGTCCCAGAGGGTCTGACACCCTTTTGGCCTCCACAGGTAGGCACACACAGCATGTACATAAATAAAAATAGTTAATGAATCTTTAGCAAAAACAAAGAAAAGAAAACATAAAAAGGCCAGGCGGCGGTGGCGCAGGTCTTTAATCCCAGCACTCAGGAGGGAGAACAAGCCAATCTCTGCGAGTTCCAGGACAGGCTTCAAAGTTACAGAAAAACCCTGTCTCAGAAAGAGGGGGGGGAGAAAAAAAGAAAGGAAGGGAGGGAGAGAGGGAGGGAGGGAGGGAGGGAGGGAGGAATGAAGGAAGGAAGGAAGGATAAAGGGGAAGTTTAAGGAGTGTGTGATAGCTTAAATCATGGCACAAAGCGTGGTAGGGAGACAGACAGAGTGTATGTGTTTGTTGGCTGTCTACCTTTTTTATTCCATCCATGGGCGCAGCCTACAGGATGGTGTCACCATATTCAACATGGATCTTCATCCCCTTAGTTAATTATCCCTGGAGATGCATTCACAGACGCACCTGGGAGGCATTACTACCTCCCAGGAGATTCTCAGTCAAATCAAGTTCACAACTGAGATCAAAACATCACACTACTTAATCTCAGAGGACAAACACATCAGAGTCCAAGTTTAATTTGCAATAGGAGAACTTTATTAAGAAGTCAGGATAAGGAAGGGAGTGGGGCCACCCCCAGGACACACTGAAGAATCAAGTTCTCCCCAGACAAGAAGCTTCCCCAGCAAGGGACACAGCCAATAGAGGTCCAGAGGCACAATGCCAACTCCATCCAGTTCCAAAAAGGGACTCAGGCTTGTTGCCAGTTAGTCTCAATGTCAGGATACAGTAAGCACGCTTCATGTAGGTCCTACCCTCCTGGGGTAGTCTCAGCTGGGGCTGGGTGGGGAAAGTTGACCAGGGCTCTAGTATCCCATCTGGTAGCCTGTGGAGGGGTGGAAAGGAGACAGCAGTAAGCAAAGAGACTTTGGTTAGAGACTTAAAGAAAGATGAGGGAACTAGGAGCAAGAATCCTGAATCTCATATAGAGCTGGAGAACCCTGAGATGGAAGGACAGAAATCAACCTGCCTATGGCCCCATCAAATTCCCAGTCTCTCCTGCTGCAACTCTGAGGATGGAGAGTCCATGGACCGGCCCCCTTCACCATCCCACAGCCTTGTCAGTACATTCTTGGTCTACTTAGGCAAAGGTAACCCCAACCTCACACCTAGATGTACATCCATGCTCCTGCAAAGCAATTGTACATGCAAAACACACAAGATACCTTGTAAAGGAACTGTTCCATACATGCAAAACACACAAGATACCTTGTAAAGGAACTGCTCCATTATACCTAAAGGCTTCTCTGAGTTACACATTGCAGTGTTGTTAGCCAGACATTTACTATAACATCATATTGGATTTTATTTGAAGATGAAACCATAGCTTAAAACTCGGTGATTATATTTATTTATTTACATGGGTATTTTGCCTCCATGTATGTGTATGCACTGTCTGTATGCCTGGTGCTCTCAGAAGTCAGAAAAGGCCATGGGATCCCCTGGAACTGGAGTTCTAGATGGTTGTGAACTACCATGGGTACTGAGAATTGAACCCAGGTCCTTACAAAAGCAGCAAGTGCTCTTGACTGCTGAGCTATCTCTCCAACCCAGATACTGAATTCATACTGCATTAAATTCAATTTGTACATAGAAATTATTCATGACCTAGAGGCCACCTCACCTGCATGAGTCCTTCTTAGAGACAGATGATGGCACCAATGATGTGTTCCCTTCAACAGTTTTACCATGCACTGGTTGTGCTAACTGACCACTGACTAAGACCCCTGGATCTCTTTTCTTGTGTGTTGTCATTGGTCCAGGATGCCCATCTAATGATGACTAAAGACACCGGCCATGGAGCCCCACAGTGCTGTACCCATCATTTGGAAATTGCATGGCTATGAGGAAAAACTTGCTTCTTCTGAACTTCATTTTCTATAAGTAAAACCTATCTATAAGCTGCAGTAGAAATGTACATGACAGTGCACAACTTTCAACACATCTCCTGTAATTACTGAGACCCAGGCCATGTGCAGATTTAATTCCAACCAATGACCAATTAAGAACCAAGTGAGTCTATACTAGTGCACTAGAGACTTTCCTAAAATCCATTCCTGTTCAGAACCCACAGTTCCCCCAAAGAAGTCCAAAGATACACAGAAAAAGTGTAGTCGCCTAGGTGCACAGGACTGTACATTCAGTAACCCCTTACCTTTTGACTCATCATCATAGTCGGCAGATTTTGAGGACTGGGACTGAGAGGACCTTCTATCTCCTCCACCATGGCTGCCTCCGCTTCCTCCTCCTGAACCACTTCCTCCACCATGGCTGCCTCCACTACCTCCCTTGGAGCCACCTCCTCTACTTTGGCCACCTCCACTTCCTCCCCTGGATCCACTTCCTCCACCATAACTTCCTCCACTGCCTCCCCCAGAGCTGTTTCCTCCTCCATAGCTGCCCCCACTTCCTCCTCCATAGCTGCCTCCACTTCCTCCCCCAGAGCTGCCTCCACTTCCTCTTCGTCTTCCTTTGCCACTTCCAAAGCCAATTTGTCCAGCACCAGAAGATTCACTAAGGATAAAGGAAAATACATAGGTATATATAAAAGGACGAACCTGTGAAGAATCAAGACTCCAGTGTGAATTGAGGCATCCCTCTCTCTCATTGTTACCATTCCCCTTTCCAAGACTCAAAACCCCGCGTGCACACACACACACACACACACACACACACACACACACACACACAATGAAGTCTTCAATCCATCAGACCCTGAGTGCCCCCCCAAACATACACACATGGGATGAAGTCCACAGTCCATCAGACCCTTGCATACAAGAACTTATCTAGTGGCTTGTAAAGAGAAGCTTTTTCCTTGAGAGAAGCCTTCCCACCAGCCTGGTTCCAGAGCCGCATCAGTCCCAAATAAACACACAGGAGGCTATATTAATTATGAAGCTGTTGGCCTTGCTTGTTTCTTACTGGCTAGCTCTGACTTAAGTAATTCCCCCATAATTGTTAATCTAAGTATTTCTCTTACCGGAGAATAGTTCCGGGCTTCCTACCTCATGGCGGTTACATCTCAAATCTCCTTGTGTTTTCTCCTTCCCAGAGTCCTTCTGGACTCCTAGTCCCTCCTATCTTGGTTCCCTATTGGCTCAACAGGGCTTTATTGACGTAAGACTTCCCCAACATCTCCTCTTTTCTGTTTAAACAAAAAGAAAGGTCTTAACTTTAACATAGTCAAATTGTATATAACAGAACAGTTATTAAGTAAGAACATAGTTACAATATTTTAGCAAGATTTAAAGAAAATATCATCCATCCCATCCTTGTGAGTCCAAAGTTCTATGTAGCTTATCTTTTATCATAACTAAGGAAAACTGTAACTATAACTATCTGTCTTCAACTCCATCAAAGACCACAGAAGGATAATATATAAACACTAGGATTGACAGAAATACCTTACTGCCTGGACAGTCACCTGAAGTTCCTCTGTAACGTTGGGGCATCCATCTTCAGCCCATAGGCCACAATGTGTCCGGAACACTTCTCAGCAAAGCAGGAAATTTCAAACTGTCCATCTGCCTTGACAGTCTGTCAGTCATTTTTCTATGTCCTGCAGAAAGTCTGGTAGACTCTTCCATGAAGCAGGAACCCCGTAAGACTGAGTTCAGCAGTCACTTTTCTGTGGGTCCTGCATGTCCTGATTATACAACAACGGTCAAGCAGTACAGGCAAGAGCAGTTTCCTGCCCAAATGGCTAATCTTGCCATGTTGAAAGCAGACTCCATAATAAGTTTCTTCGATGCCCATCTCAGACATAATGCTGCCAGGAGCAGACATTTCTCATTGTCAAGAAAAACCTTAAACCATTTTAAATGCCATTTTCTGAAGGTCTTTGAAAGGTTTGAAGACTATCTCAAATATATTTCTGTATATCTAGAAAACCTAACTTACCTAACTATAAATTCTATTATAAGTAACTATCTATAGTCTGTATTCAATTATGCATTATGTTTTAAAATATCAGTATAAGTACCACAATACTTAATCAAGAGGAGAAATATACATATCACAAAATTAACCTTGAATTTGTCTCAATAAATGAAAAACCATACCCATACCATAATTCCCCTTTTTACCATTAAAAAGAGATTGGTTGTGATCATTAACCAATTATAAACAATCCCATTTAAACGAAAACAAAGATTTATAAACAAGATGGGAATTAGGACGTCGCTTATTCCAAACTGCTTCATGCTGGAAGGGGGCGCTGTTCATACCATGGGGATCATGACAAAACTCAGAAACCTGTATAAGTCCTTATTTTCATGGTCTGTAAAGCTGCATCATCTTAGCTGTTTAAGTTGTTGGAACACCTGGTCCACTGCTTCCGGGGGTCTTGGTTTGTCAAACCACAGAAGCCTGGAAGGAATCCTCAGCTTTTCATTTTCTGTGGAAACATAAACTAAAACTCCTTTTCCGAGTAACATATCCTTATACTTAACTTTTGAAGTCAAGGCATTTTCAAAAGATAGAAGTTGAATTAATTCAGCAGCATTTATAATCAAGTGTACTTTAGCAGCTGTTCCTTCCTTAGCAATCAAAAACCTGAAAAACACAATAGCGTACAGTATCCAGACTCTCTGTGTATTTTCCATCTTTACGTGGCTCATTTATTTATCTATTATTGCTTTATTTCTTTCACTTTTATTTATTTTTCTCTGAGACAGGGTTTCTCTTTGGAAACCTGCCTGCCTCTGCCTCTGGAGGAAATCCTATCAGCGTGCGCCACCACAGCCGGCTTCTCTAATTTCTCTCTCAATTTTACATATATTTTTAAACACACTGTAAACCTTTAGAGGTTTTGTTCATCCAAGTCTGACTTTACTGTAAATCCTTACATTTTTCTGGCCATGTGTCTTATCTGTTAAAACCGCGGCTGTTTAAACTGCCGTTTCCAAGATGGCGGGCGTAATTGTGACTCCTGGTGTCGGCTTGGAGATGTGGTCGCTGCCACTTCCAGCTGTACGTACAACTTTTCAATTGTTAGCAGAGTCTCTTAAAAGAACCTTGCTGGGTTTTTTTTCTTTTTATGCCAAGTCAGGAAGACTCCTGTAAGCAAGCCACGTAAATCTCGGCTTGTCGCTAGCAGAACAGAGCCCACCTGAGAAAATGCTGCTACGAAAAATCTGTGCTCCGTGCTTCTGTTGCTAAAATTCCTTTAAAGCTTTTGTTATTTTGCGTGGAAATTCAATTCCACTTCTGACACCATTCTGTAAAGAGAAGCTTTTTCCTTGAGAGAAGCCTTCCCGCCAGCCTTGTTACAGAGCCGCATCAGTCCCAAATAAACACACAGGAGGCTATATTAATTATGAAGCTGTTGGCCTTGCTTGTTTCTTACTGGCTAGCTCTGACTTAAGTAATTCCCCCATAATTGTTAATCTAAGTATTTCTCTTACCGGAGAATAGTTCCGGGCTTCCTACCCCATGGCGGTTACATCTCAAATCTCCTTGTGTTTTCTCCTTCCCAGAGTCCTTCTGGACTCCTAGTCCCTCCTATCTTGGTTCCCTATTGGCTCAACAGGGCTTTATTGACGTAAGACTTCCCCAACAGTGGCTCTATTAAGAAGGTTAGAAATGGTATCAGAAGCCTAAGGACTCCTACAAGATTCCACACTCTGAGTCTACAGACTCCTGAGGACTTACAAGTCTTGCTGGCTGCCTTCAAGGAGGTTGTGGTAAGTCTCGATTTCTTTTTCCAGCCTTGTCTTGATGCCTAGCAGAATGCCATATCCCTGGTTCTGACACTCGGTTTCTGCCCGGACCTCAGCAAGCTGGGCCTCCACCTGACTGATCTGTTCCTGGATTTGTTGCAGCTGGCCACAGTAGCAGTTCCTTGTGTCCTCCAAAGCCTTTTTCCAGGGCTGATTTCTAGGGAGCAAGAGGAGATTTTAGGAGGAATGTTCCGATCCTAGCCCCCGCTGAGGATTTGGTAAAGCTATCCCGTGCCATGCCTTGGCAGGAGCAGGACTACCAACCGTGCTAAGCTGAGTCTGCAGCTCGATATCCAACTCCTGGATGCTGTGCTGGAGCTGGGACATTTCCTTCATGCTGCTCTCCATCTCTTGGCCGCTGTTGGTCACTTCTTGTTCAATCTGGGTCATCTGCAAACCAAAGGCTCAGTTAGGAACAGGCGGAGTCAAGAGCATCTGTGGGAAACACTGTGCCTCACTCACCAGGATCTTCACCCTTAAAACCAAGCAAGGCTGAGATCACTGGATTCTGGGTCCCGCCAGCCAGGTTGTTCCTTTTCAGCAAGATTTCAAGGCCCTTCGTGCTATGTCCCAAAACCACCTTTCTAATGTTACTTCTTGCTTACATGCAGAATGGCTTGTCTTTATCTACCAGGCTCTGTGCCAAGCTTTGGAGACCCGGGGAGGAAGGGAGCAGGCATGAAACTCTATACTGTGGAAGATGCTATGTGACAATACCAGAGCCTTCCATCACACAGGGTTATAGTGAGTCCTCCACTCCCTGCACACCCACTCCACAGCTGCAGCCGTGCGTGACAAATGAAGAAGAATGTGTGGCATCCATTGGAGGATGGATAGATATCCAGAGCTATGCTGAGAGATGAAGAGGTAGAAGGATGGAGGGATGAGACAAGGGAGGAAGGAAGTAGGACACCCGGAAGCAGGTTAGAAAACTGGACAGGCATCCCACTCTGCTCACCTTGGACTCACAGTGTTGCTCAATGTCCTGGTGGTTCTTAGAAATGAGTTGCTCGTACTCCTCGCGCATGTCATTGAGGATCTGGGTGAGATCTGTGCTGGGGGCCACATTTATCTCCATACTAACATCTCCATCATTCTGGCCCATCAGCTGCTTCATCGCCTGCCAGGGAAGAAGAGCACATGAGGTTGAAGCAGAACCCTTCCTGCTGTCTTTCAACCCTCTCCCACAAGTCCTCTCAGGGTGCAAAAGAGGAACGCCCATGCTGTGAGGAGCTGGGAGTGTCCCCCATTGAGGGTGAAGAAGAGAGAACTCTGTCAGCGCTCCACAGCACCCTCTGCTATTCCCACCCTTCTGTTGTCCCTGTACCCACTAAGCCATGGGCACAGTAACCTACCTCCCGATGATTGTTCTTAAGGGCCTTCAGCTCTTCATCCAGGGTATCAAGCTGTATCTCCAGATCGGTTTTCTCCATCTTCATAGCTTCCAACACTTTCTGCAGGCCATTAATATCAGCATCCACCGCTTGTCACAGGGTCTGCTCCATCTCAAACCTGCAGGCCAGCCATGGGTAGAGAATGATCAAGAGGGTACTAGATCCTCCTGGGACCTCCAGAGCTCTGAATGCTGGGGATGAGGGAGAAAGAGCATCCGTACAGGGAGAAGGAAGGGAGCAGGACTTACTTAACTCTGAAGTCATCCATAGTCATGCGAGTGTTGTCTATGTCCAGAAGTGTTCTGTTTTGCCTTGTTGTGAGATCCACAATCTGAAAGAGAATATTGCATGAAAAAGTCATGTTCCCTTGACATGATCAACTTCAGGGAGAGGAAGAGGCCAGACATAGGCAACAGAGGGGATAATTCCATCCAAGGTGTTCAGGAAGCAAGAGGTCTTTTCCATCAGCTTGTATGTGACATGGCACACACACAGCCTTCCTCAGTCATTCAGCAAATATTTGAAGATCTTCTGCAAAGTCAGTGGAGGGTCTAGGACAAATTCCAAAGAGCCCGTCTTTGAACACAGAGTCTAAATTATCCAAAAAAGGGGTCATGAAAAGGAGCAGTGGCTTTGGCCATCCTGGGAAACCAGGAAAGACCTTGGAAAGGAGATGACAACTGAACTATGTGCTGAAGGATCGCTAAGATTTCATGAAAGTAGATGGATGGAAGAGATCTACAGCTGGGGAAACAGCACATTCAAAAATACAAAGATGTAAAAGCAGGAGGGATGAGTGAGAGCAGTAGTAAACCCAGCCGTGGGCTCCTTTAGGGTGGAAGCTGAGTGTGGGCTGCTCAGTGCAACACAGAGGGTAGTCACCCACTTAAGTTAGTGGATGAATCAGTGGATGCGCAGATGGATGGATGGATGGATGGATAGATGATGGATGGATGGATGATGGATGGATGGATGATGGATGGATGGGTGGGTGGATGGATGGGTGGGTGGATGGATGGATGGATGGGTATCATCCTCACAATTAGAGATTCTCTACATCACTGATCAACCAGCCTACATACCTGAGTCCTAAGGACCTGAAAAGACTAAGAAGGGCCCTCAGAGTCCAAGATAAATAGGAAAGGAAGGATAAGGCTGACTTGAAACCAGGTCAAAGAACCCTTCAGTCAGGTCCCTAGTATTAATACAAGCTTCCTCCCTGCTCTGCCCAAACTCAAAATGAAATACCAAAGTTCAAGTTCAAGTCCAAGTCCCTAAGACCTTAGAAACCAAACACAAGTTTGTTTGTGGTGAAAGTGAAGATTCTAAAAGGTGATTCCCTGGCATGGCTTTGCTTGGACTCTAGCATCTTACCTTTTGTGAGAGAGGTTGAGAAAGGAGAAAAGGAAGAGAAGTCTGACAGAGAGAGAGAAAGATTTGATCCATGTGTGTGCCCTGTCCTTCAGGTCTTCGATAGTGTTGTAGAAATGAGATTCTGGACCCCTTCTTTGAATACCATTCCTGGATCTGTTTCTCCAGGGAGGTGTTGGCCTCCTCCAATTCCTGTACTTTATCCATGTAGGCAGCCAGACAAGAACTGAGATTCTGCATGACAACCTTCTCATTGGTATTCAGAATGCTACCTTCTCCACCTCCAGAGCCACCACCAAAGCCACCTCCAGAGCCACCACCAAAGCCACCTCCAGAGCCACCACCAAAACCATCTCCAGAGCCACCACCAAAGCCACCTCCAGAGCCACCACCGAAGCTCTTAGAACCTCCCCCAAACATACCGCTGGAACTCCCTGTACTAAAGCCCCCTCCAGCTCCTCCACCATAGCTGGAGCCAAAACTGCCCCCCACCTCCACTGCCACAGGCCACAAGGCCACCCCCACCAAAGCCACTGGAAGAGCTAAAGCGGCCCCCTCCTCCACCAGCCCTGGAGGAGCGACTGAAAGAAGACTGCATGCTACCCCTGCTGCCCCCTCTGCCTCCTCCTGCTGCGGCTCCAGAAAGATGAGGTGATCTGTCTGCAACTCATGATGCTGCCTTCTGGGGTCAGTAGGCAGGAAGTGGTCTCTGGGTGCTGGGTACTGAGCCATCCCTGGAGCTGCCTATATATACCCCCTGCTAAAGGTGGCACGCCTGGGTGTGCCCTCACTCTGTGCCAGCTCCCCCCCATAGACTCAGAGAAGGTCTAGGGTATGGGAGCAGCAGGGAAGCCCCAGGCTCTGCGTCCCTTGGTGACTGCCCGTCAGCAGCCCAGCCTCTCTCCATTGTGTGGGGCAATTTAATGATATTAGGCTGTCAAGGGCACCATAAATCAGCCCTGTTGCTGAGGGGGTAACCTATATCCTACAGTCTGCTGTCTGGCTGACCTTGACAGCAGGTCTAAGAGTCAGCCCTCTCAGTACCTAAGATCAAAACTCACTCATGGTTGATTGTCACTGTCTAAACACACTTGCCCATACCTGGTGGTCATCACTGTGGATGGAGCTGCAGCCATGGTACAGAAGTTACTGTGAAGCCCACAGGGGGCTGCCAGGATAAGCAGAAAGTCGGCACCTACCCTGGTGAAGCCCCCATCAAATGGAAACCCAGTTGTCAGCATCCCTTAGGCTAACAGGAGAAACAGGGCTCTGCTCTTAGAGCATGCCAGTTTGCTGAGACGGTGCTGTGACCAAAAGATGGAGATACGTGCATAGCTGTGCACCCTCCAGAGTTCCAGAACAACATGTAGCATTCACACGGAAGACTGTGAGAAGACGGCAAACCCAATAAATACAGTCTTGTTACTGCTGAATGACTTTACAACAGGAGCATGGTGGGCCTGTCCGGCCTCCTCTGTGTGTGTGTGTGTGTGTGTGTGTGTGTGTGTGTGTGTGTGTGTGTGTGTGTGTGTGTGTGTGTGTGTGTGTGTGTGTGTGTGTTGCATATGTGTACATGTGCATATACACACATGAAGACCAGAGTTGTAATTTCTCACCTTATTTTTAGAGGCAGGGTCTCTCTCTAACCCTGGAGCTGCCTGTTTCATCAAAACCACTTGGCCAACAAGCCACAAGGATCCTTCTCCCTCGGCCTTCCGAGCACTGGTATTACAGTGCATTGTGTAGGATTACACTGCTGAGACCAACTTTCTACGTAGGTGCTGGTGATCAAACTCAGGTCCTTGTCCTTGCATGGCAAACGCCTTGCCCTTGAGTCATCTCCCCCGCCTCTGAATTGTTCTTTTGCAGAGCCCTGCAGTGAATATAGAGTTTCTCTTGGTTGGGTGCCTGTCTTATGCTCAGCCCTGGGGGTGGCGGGATACCAGGATGTCACTTTCCCTTGCTCCTGAGAGACCCTCACACTTATTCTGGTCACCAGTGCCAAAAGAGATTGTAAAGAGGCTGGGCCCTGCTGCCAGATAACCTAGGCAGAGTACAGACTCTGCTCCCTGGCTGTGTGATAACTTGTCCAATGCTGGGCCTCTGTTCTCTCCTCCAAAGTGTGATTTGCCCATCCCAGGAAAGGAGGCATGAGAGAGGCTTAAGAACGATTCCTTCTGGGGCTGGAGAGATGGCTCAGTGGTTAAGAACGATTGCATCTGACCATTCAACCCCTTAAGTCCACCTCCCCTCACCGCTGCCCACCCTTGGCCCTGAGATGTCAGCTCCTAACAGTTCTCCTTGCTCCTCTCATGCCCTTTGACCTTTTTTAAATCATTAAACTCCCTCCTTTCGCATTCACTCTGGCTCTGAGGTTTAAGCTCAGCTCTCCAGGTTTGTACAACAAGTGCCTTTACCCCCACTGAGCCATCTTGTCGGCCCCCTCGACCTCTTGAGCTGCCCCTGAGATGACCCTTCTAATGTTTCTCCTCTGTCTTCTCTTAAGACAAGATCCATGCTCCTGGTACTCCAGGCCAGTACCCAGCCTTTCTTCCTATTTTAAGTTGTCTTCCAGCCCTGGGCACCCATTGGAAATGACTAGTTCTTTCTCTTTCCTTCTGTTTGTTGGGATCTTGCTTTGACCAGGCATGGGGTTGACAAGGGCCTGAAGTCTTGGAGGTGTGGCTGGGGGTACTAAACTCTTCCCAGCAAGGGTCTGGAAGAGGGTCTCTGGATGGTAGGTGTATAAAGACTAGCACATGAGAGATGTTTTCTGGGTGATGGTTGGAGACTATCTTCAGTAACAGAGTGGAGCAATTCAGGATCTGGGGCAGGAGAATTGCAAGTTAGAGACCAGCCTGGGATATATAGTAAGACCCTATCAAAACAACAATAAAAACGCAGATCACATGATGGTAAGAAAAGCATTTCCTTTGCTACTTTCCAGTCTCCTGATTCTCGAGGAAAGAAATCTCAATCAGCACTGTAGTCCCATTAGCAGCCTCCACACCTGACAATCGTCCTAGCTGATCAAATCAAGCCCCAGGAAGTAACAGCATCTAATTAGACGTGCTGCCTCATTGGCTTCTGTAAATGACAATTGATACTCACTTTCCTCTTTCTGTAGAAATACAGGATTTCCTCTACAAATATGCTTGTTAAAATGAAAGGTGAGCTAGTTTACCAAAATGAGTGAAGTAAATACTTAAATTGGTGGTACAGAGCATGTTAATTAAAATAGGCAATCAAGTAGGTAGAATTGAATGTTAACAGCAATTTTTTGCAAGCCTTACACTTGGGAAACTCTTAGACCAAGGTTAGTGGGGAGTCTGGTCACTGACCTCACTTATTGATGGCTCTAAATCTCTGCCCACATTCCTGCCAGGCTCCACTGGAAACACCCTAGATGAGCACTCAATGTGATCCGAGGCCCAGACCCACTCTGATGTCCTTTCCCCCACCTTTGCCACAGGCACACTGACATCACCAATCTCAGTTAGATGGAAACTCCAAGTCCCAGGGCTTGAGCTGGTGGAGGACACGTTGGGCCAAGTTGGGATGGGCGGCCTCAGGGAGAGAAGCCCTTATGCGACCCTGGTCTTAGCAAATGCATTCTGTTAGGTTTGGCTTGGCTTGTTTTTGCTGTAGGCTCTAACTGACCTTGAGTTCCTGATTCTCCTGCTTCGGACTCGAAAGTTCTTGGATTGCTGGCATCTACTCACTTTTCTCTATCTGAACCATGCTCTGCCTGGATCCACGAATCCCCAAACATCCCTTCCCATCTGAGTTCAAAGCAGGCACAGGCCTTTCTCCTGCATCTGGGTCATCTCTGTGTGTGGCCCCAATGCCTCTACCCCTGAAACAGAGTCCTCTCCACTAAGTCTCCTGGGACATCACCGTGAAGGCATCAGTGGCTTGCCAGTGAGGCACGGCTGGGCCACCACCAGTCTTATTCTCCCTACCCTTGTGGCCTTGACCTCAGTTTCTCCGTGGGAAGTCTTTGCATGCTGAGTTGCCAGGAACACAAATACACTGCAAGATGGAGGGATCCCAGTATGAAAGCCCAGTTGTCCATGTGTAGGCATTTTCTCCCCTTCGCCCTCCTCTCATCTACTCTCCTTCCTATTCTCCCTCCTCCCACTGCCTAACCCCGTCATCTACCCTCCTCCCCACATCCTCCTTCCTTCCCATCCTTTCTCCTCCCTGTGCTCCTTCCTCTCTCCACATCTGCATCTACTTCCAAACTGAAGAGGAGCCAACCATGCGGGGGTAAGTCCTGTGGTCCAGACATGCATTGGTACTGCTGTTCTGCTCAGTCTTCTCCCTTCTCCAGCTCTGCCTGGCATGGGAAAGATAGTGCCAAGGACAAGGAAGCTGACTATCCTGGACTGAGTGAGAGACCTCTTTCTGGCTGTGTGGCACGGCTCATTCTTTTACCCTCCCGGGGCTTTGAGGTCCGCCCTCCAATCCCTGCTTCCCACTCCTGGCAATGAACAGGGAGTAGATCTCATGTAGCCCAGGATACCCTTTCCCAGGTCTCCAGAAGAACAAATTCTGTCTCTATAGCCCATGTCCAGACTGCAGTTAATATTGGAAAATTCTAACACGTCTTCGGACATTATCCTGACTGTGAGCGGTGCTAAGTATGCTCTTTTTCCTTACTCCTGGACCATCTGGATGACCTGGATTCAACCCTCTTGCTTGCTATTTGCCCATCTCTTGGTCAACTGGACCCCCATACCAGTTTCCCAAATGCAGTTCATGCCCTCAGAGCATAGATGAAGCTGAATAGAAGGACTTTGAGGACCAAAAAGACAGAGAGAGGAACCCTGAGTGGGTTCTACCTGCAAGGTCTCAGGGGAACTGGTCTGGTACTAGAGATATGGGGACTTGAGAAGAGACAAGGCCAGCCTGGCTCCGGCTATAGAAGCCTCCTGCTTGCTTTTATCCAGCCACCCAACACTTTGAGCCCCACTTGCTCCCCACCACTGTGTATCCTTGAGCTCAGATGGGGCCAGAAGGTCCTGAGTCATCGTGAGGCTGGATGCTGGCCGGAGGAGCACAAACATGACTCAAAGCGCCTCTCCTGGCTCACGGGCCCACCCCTCCACGGACCTCCTATGCAGGTAGACACTTTGGGTTGAAGCACAACTGGAGGTACCTGCATATATCTGTCAACAGTGATTCTTTCTTGCTGAATAGTCACCTCCCTGACCTCACCTGGCTAGACCCCACCAGACTAAGGCACCCTGAGTCTAACACCAGAGTCTTCCATCCAGTTAATGAATGTTGCTTCCCCTCACTCTCAAACCAGCTTCCCCATGGTAAGTTTTGGGTGTCTCTTTCCCTAAGCACCTACTGGGTTCTACACATTGCACTAAAAACTGAGGATAAAATGGTGACCAAGCCCCCATCAGTAAGGCACCTGCCCCACAAGCACAAGAACCTGAGTTGGGATCCCAGGCAAAAAAGCTAGGTTTGGCAGGTGCGTATCTGTGTCTCCAGTGTTGGGGATGCAGAGACGAGGGGACTCCTAGCTAGATGGGAATTCCTAGCGGGTCTAGCCAAATGGGTGACACTTGAGAGGGGCATTGTTTTAAAAAATAACTGGGGGATGGGGGTGAGATGGGAGGTGGTGGAGGGCATGGGAGGATGGAAGAGTGAACTAGGATTGGCATGTAAAATAAGATTTTTTTAATTTAAATAAAAATATATAAATAATAAATAAATAAATAAGTGGAGAGCAATTGAGGAAGAAACCCAACCTTGACTTCTGGCCTACACATGTATACACATGCAAGTGCATCCTCATGCGAGTGTATGTGTGCGCGAGCGCACACACACACACACACACACATCATTGATACACAAGCCTTATCTCCTTGAGCAGCTGTAGAACAAAGTAGACTCCCCCAGTAAATATAAAACTCAAAATTGAAGTACATGCTACTGATGGCCAAATGGGAAGCACACGGTAAAGCCTGCTGCATGGTCTAAGGGAGGGATCAGGAGCAGTCAGTCACCTGAGAGCCACCTGTGCGAGGGGTAAGCAGCAGTGATCAAGCAAGTCCCACAGATGACTGACTCACCCTGAGAGAGGGACCCAATGCCCTGGTGTGGAAAGAGTAAAGCGATCACAAATCAGACAGCCAGCATGCCTAGAGGGTGGCAAGCTTCACCAAGAAAAGGATTTGCAAACTAAAAAGAATGATTACAACTTCACGTGAGGCTGGGGTGAGCTACTGAATAACTGCTGGTTTGAGCCCAACACACTCTAAGACGTTATCCTGACTCTCAGTGACAATGGCGTGCTTCTGCCCTTCCTCTTGGACCATCTGGATGACTTGGGTGTCAATTACCTTTCTGATTATTTGGTCATCCTTCCAGTCTGCTGGGTCCCCCTTAAGATCAAGAGCCTGTATCAAGCAGGTGCTGTTGAGGACACATGGTCCCTCCCTCAAGGACCCTGAAAGCTGGATGTGGCCAGGTTCAAACAGTATGACTTGGAGCAGGGTAATCTCTCTTAGAAGAGGAGATTGGAGAGATGATCTCCATGCACGTAGCACAATCCCATTCTGCGTTCAGAGTAGGCAGAGAAAGTAGCTCCTTCCCAAATTATATTAAAGGGGTGTGGCTCCTCAACCCTCCTCAGGCTAGCCCCAGGACTCAGAAGCCACTTTCTTGCTTCCACTAGGCGGTGCTATCGAGTCACTTTTCTGGTCTGCTTCACAGGTGGGGGCAGAGGCCAGGTCTCTAGTGGGTGCTGTAGCCTGTTAGCCCTGTGAATAAGAGCACTAGTCATCAGTAGAAATCAGTTGTTGGCTCTACTCTTCCCAATGAATGTGGTGGCGAAAATCAGGGAAGAGGGTGTCCATGGAAGACCCCCCAGAACTGTGGTTATGCCTGCCCTCTGTTTCTGGGGTCCTTGGAATCCAAGCCCACTGCTTAACTTACCCCCACTCCCCAATTCTGAGCTTGATTATAGCCAAGTGGCCTCAAGCAAGTCTGCCTTTTCTGTGTGTTCCTTCCAAAAGCAGTGGCGGCAATCCAAGTGAGGACAGGATTTCACCCAGCACTCTAGAGCCCAAGAAACTCATATGTCCATATTCCTGTAAAGCGGGTTCCTTTGGAGGTTAAACTCAAACATCACAGGTAGAGTAATGACTAGAGATCCACAAGCAATCCGTAGCATTCTGGGGCTTCCATCTCCACTAGCGAATGTGGGTGTGTTTTGCTCTCTGCCCGACCCAGATGACCCTTCAAGTATAAACCACCCCTTGTGGCGGGCATCCTGACATCTGGGGCTCAACATCCATTTAAGTCTCCTGAAGCCCCTTTCCACATGGTCCTCACCACTCAAGGGCCTGAGAGCCATCCTTTCCCCATCTAGAAAGCAGCTCTCTCACCTTTCCTTTGGCTCCAGGATGTACACATTCAGATAAGGCTCACCCAGCTCAGCCCTGCAGGATGCCAAGACTCAGGTCAAAAGTTATCAAAAGTTTCAAGGTCATAGGTCAGTCATGATTTTCTGGCATTGTAGGTAGGAACAAGGGACACCAACAACGCTTCATTCCTTTCATTGATAATGCCTCGTCTTGAACTACCACAGAGAGAACACTATGCACCATGAAATGCTGGGCTCCATGAAATCATTTAGTCCATCAGCACTGTGCAGTGAAGGTATTTATCCTCCATCTTGAGAAAGAGGAATGTGGATTTGGTATCCTGACCCAAGTCTCCAAGGCTGGTGAAGATGTAACCCAGGACCTAAGCTTAGGAATCTCAGGTCCAAGGTTTTAGCCCCCTCATCCAAACTGTCTTTCTTCATCCCCCACCCCCACATTCAACTCTACCCAGGCAAGTGAACAAGCTATTGAAATGGATTCAGAGTTAGTCAACTCTTTTCCTGGCTGGGAGCAGTGAGCCCTCCCCACCCCTGGCATCTCTGTCACACACCCAGATTATGCTCCTCCCCTTCCTACTCCTTAGTCAGCCACTTATCCACCAAGGGGAGGCTCCTCACTATGGAGCCCTGTCTGGCCTTAAACTCATAGCCTCCTCCTGGAGGCAACTTCCTAGTGCTAGGTTACATGTGTGACCCATCAGGCTCAGAGGTCGGTCTGGATCTTAAGGTGTACTTACTCAGAGAGTTTGTACATCAACCACAAGATACAGGGTCCATCATTCTTATTGTGCAATGAGGAAACTGAGAGCCAGGCTCTCCAAAGCCACTAATCCAGAGCAGGGTCAAGGTTAGAAACCAGTTGATGTATTCTGGAAGCCTCTGGAAATGCCCTTGTTGTGAATGGAACCCAGCATGGCTGGCACAGCTGCTCCTTAAGCCCACATTCTCCAGGCACTGTGCTGGACAATGTTCTTATAGGTTGTGCTTACAGCCAACTTCTGCAAGACCAGGAAACAGGACTATCATCATTCCTATTTTACAGATATGGAAACTGAGGCTTGAAATGGGTCATTAACTTCCTCAAACTCAGTGGTTCTCAACCTATGGGTCAAGACCTCTGTGAGGATTGACCAACCCTTTCACGGGGGTTGCATATCAGATATTTACAATTCATTACAGTAGCAAAATTATAGTTATGAAAATAATTTTATGATTGGGGGTTCACCTCACCAGGAGTAACTGTCTTAAAGAGTGGCAGCATTAAGGAAGTTGAGAATCACCTCTGTAAATTGACTAAAAATAGACTCAATTCTAGGCAGCTTCAGATCAGGGAGCTAAGACCACCAACAGAGCATTAGTTCTTAGCCTAGGCTCAGAGTTTTAGGGGACTAGTGAACATTGCCCATAACATTGCACATAAAGATGTCTACTTATTCAAAGAAAATATGTAAATCCATTACAGAGTCATCTTAAAGGACCACAAGTCATTAAGCATCCTTAACCTAAGGCCAGTGAGATGGCTCAGCAGGTAGAAGCACCATGCAAGACTGGCAACCTGAGCTCAACCCCCAGAACCCACCGTGGAAGGAGAGAACAAGCTCCCCAAAGTTGGCCTCCAACCTCCACATACACAGTCTGATACATGTACATCTGTGCTCTAAGTTTACAGTTTTATTCTAAAGGAATCCTTCACCTAGCACACTGCCTGGCACCTAAAGGCACTTCATATCTGGTGAGTGTGTGAAGCAATGACTGAATGAGGAAATGCACCTCTTCCCTAAGAGCTCCCATGACCTGGTACACACAGCTGTCTATATCTTCTTAGGTGGTGAGAGCCAGCCTGGGACCTGAGCCAAGCCTGCCCACGGGCCCTTTCTCCCAGTCCCAGAGGCCAAAGCCAGGTGCTCACCTGAGCTGCAAAGCAATGCCTCCCACATTCCTCTCACCCCCACTCCTGACAATGACCATGGAGGCAGCGATTGTGCAACTCAGAAAAAAGAAACTTTATTGACTGCCAGAAGGGTTAGGGTCAAGTAAAGGGTGAAGAGTGTAGGACAGTAGAGGGCCTCTTTCAGCAGTATCTGTGTCCTCACAGGGGCCTCCTAAGCCTGAGCAGTGCCCAGACGCCTTAGTTCTTGGTGCGCAGGACCTGTTCGTGGGTGGAGACCACCTTGCCATCGTGCACATCCATGACCTTGGTGCGGATCTGGCGGTTGGTGGAGGTCACTGGGGAATGTGAGAGAGAAGGTGTTAGCGGAGGTGGACAGATGGAGTGTTCTGAAGTGGAGAGAAGCCAAGAAGCTGAGGAGTGAACTGTCCCCTGCTGCCCTCTGTCCTGATTGCCACCCCACACACACTGCTGCCGGGGCACCCTGTCGTCATGTTCAGTCTGTTTCCTTAGACTGGAGCACTCAACTGGTGCTGTCCAACTAAACCCAATTGCTTTAGAAGATCCAACTAGACCCAAATGGATTAGATGGGCCGCGTGTGTGCTGTCCGTGGTGCTGATTTCCATCCCTGCGGATCTACCCAGACACCCATTGAAGGAACAAGGTAAAGTCGCCAGTCCTAGCCCTGAGGAGAGTTAGGAAATGACTCTTTCTATCTGAAGAGACTCATGGGGTATACTGAGTAAGAACACTTATCTTAACCCCCAATAAGGTCCTAATCTAGTTTCTAGATCTGCTGGAAGATCTGAAGGTATTCTGGAGCCCAGGCACGATGGGGGAAAGGGTCTTACCATCTCTGGAAGACTGAGAACCAGAAGAGAACTGGGAGGATGAGGAGAACTGGGTGGATGAGAGGCTGCAAAGACAGAACAGGGCAGGACGTTACACATTGGAGGACATTTGTGAAGAAAAAGAGCATGGTCTAGGGGGTGGGCCAGGCACTCACTGGGCATCCTCTCCCTCCAGCAGACGGCGGTAAGTGGCGATCTCCTGCTCCAGGCGAGTCTTCACGTCCAGCAGGATCTTGTACTCCTGATTCTGCTGCTCCATCTCGCAGCGCAGCTGAGCCAGCTGCTCCTCCACGCCGCCGATCATTTCCTGGATCTGGGACAGCTGCATGCAATAGCGGCCTTTGGTCTCCTCCAGGTTATTCTCCAGGGATGCTTTCTGTGAAGGAGAGAAATGGGTGGTGGATCACTGAGAATGGTCATGCCCCTTCAGTTAGCCAAGGCTAACCCCTGTGTGCAGCAGAGCAGCATCCCTACCATGCTGAGCTGGGACTGCAGCTCGATCTCCAGGTTCTGCATGGTGCGCCGGAGCTCAGAGATCTCGCTCTTGCCACTCTGCACCAGCTCGCTGTTGGTGGCCACCTCGCGGTTCAGCTCCTCGGTCTGTGAAAAAGAATACACCGTTCACACCAGAAAACCCCGGAAGGCTTGTGGTCTGCACCCCTCCCTCTCCAAATGACACCCACCTTGGTGAAGAACCATTCCTCGGCATCCTTGCGGTTCTTCTCGGCCATCTTCTCATACTGGTCTCGCATCTCATTCAGGATGCGGCTCAGGTCCACACCCGGGGCTGCGTCCATCTCCACGTTGACATCCCCGCCCACCTGGCCTTTCATGGAGGCCATCTCCTGCAAAGGCAGAAAAGGTCCCATAGTCAGAAGCCTCGTGGCTGACAGGACTTTCTAGCAAGGGGTGGCCTGAACACTGATTCTGTTTCTCCTCTCTGTGGACCCTTTTAAACTGGCTTTCTATTTGGCTCTCACCTCCTCATGGTTCTTCTTCAGGTAGGCCAGCTCCTCCTTGAGACTCTCGATCTGCATCTCCAGGTCGGCTCTGGCCAGGGTCAGCTCATCCAGCACGCGGCGCAGGCCATTGATGTCGGCCTCCACGCTCATGCGCAGGTTCAGCTCTGTCTCATACCTAGGATGATCCAGGAGAAAAGGAATGAGCTATCCATCCCAGCCACACTGAAAGCTTTGTTTTCTTCCCATGTGTATTATTCCCAGAGTTGGCACCCAGGGGTGTTGTGGAGAGTCAGTATTAGACACAATGCCCATTGATTGCTTAGGTCTGAACATTCCTAGGGTCCAGGGAATGAAAATCATCATTAGGCATCCAGCTGGAAGAGGCCTCCAAATATGACAGCCTACTGCACTGAAAGGGGTGGGGGAGGTATGGAGCACCCCTCCCTAAAGTGATGGCTCTCACACCTGGCTGTGGATCAGAGTCACCTAGGTTACAAATAACTCAATTACCAGGGTGGAGCCCAACAGACTTGTATTTTTACAAGCACCCCAAGGGGTTCTCCTGGCACAACTCAACTCTGGTAGAAAGCCCTGTTCCAAAAACGCCCCACCCTGCGGACACTGGAAGCTCTGAGCCACTACACTAAAAACTCACTTGGTACGGAAATCATCAGCAGCCAGCCGGGCATTGTCAATCTGCAGGAGGACATTGGCATTGTCCACAGTGGCTGCAAGGATCTGTAGAATGGAAAAGCCACGGGTTCATCATTAAACGGACATCTGTAGACAAATGTCGCTGCAAGCTGCCCTGGCCTTTCTCTCTTGCTCTTGCTTGAATCCTGTCCTCATCCCGTGGGCCTCTGTTCACCACAGTAGCCTGAGAGACAACCCCACGTAGTCATCTTCAACCCAGGACTTTGACTCCCGGTCAACAGAAGAGCTAGCTGAGCACAGGTCTGGCCCCAGACTCAAAAGCCCTAGAATTCAGGTTTTATTGCTTTCACTCACCTGTAAAACCTAACATGGGTCTTGGTGTTTTAGTCCCACTAAGACTCCTACGTAGCCTTCATCTTCCAAATCCCCCTCTCCATACAGGACATTCTTATCAGCCCTCTGCGTTTGCACACACACACACACACACACACACACACACACACACACATTCCTTTCTAAGCCCACGGGGCATGGACCTCAGGTGGGACTTTCCCAAGAGACAAAACCCAACTTGCCCAGGGGATTAGTGAAAAAAGGAAATGGGAGAATGAAAAGAAGACAGACCGATCCCTGAGCCTGGCTGGAGTTCCTGCCAGGGACTTGTCTAATTTCCATAGTTTATTCAAGGCACTAGAGCTGAGTAGATTTAACAGAAGGGGAGGAAGGGTTCTGGAAGCACAACCCCACCAGGATCTCTCTGGCTCGGGAGTAAATATATGGACCTTGATTGGCTGTGGCTGTGGGTTTCTACGTCTGGCTGGCTATAGGGAAAGGCCAGCTGCTGCCAAAGCCCATGGGCGTCGGCAGCCTCAGCCCAGACTAATGAGCTAATGAGCGGTTTGGGTGTCTAGCTTGGTGGGTCCCGTTAGAGCCTCACCCCTCCCTTCTGCTGGAGAGATAACTGCCTCATATAGCAGAAGGAGGGCCAGTGGCGCTCCAATCTCAGCTCTGCCCCTCCTTTTGTGAGATCTTTAGCAAGTCACGGCACCTCTCAAAGCTTCAGCTTCTTCCTCTGCAAAATGTTAAGGGCGGAAACCAGTAGTCTCATGTGAGCTAAAAACTAGAGCTCAGAAAAGCATGGGGAAAAGCCAGGAATGGACACCATCTTCTCACTGGCCAGTCCTATTGGGGATGTTCAGGACCACAGAGAGAGCGATCTGGACTGGAGGCTGCCCTGTCTGAATCTAAAAATTATCTGAAGCCTTGGAGGAAACTTGAATGGCAGGTCCTGCTGCCCTATTAGCCCACCTTGCTCTTCAGGTCCTCGATGGTCTTGAAGTAGGGGCTGTAGTCTTTGATCTCAGCGGGCCGCTGCCTCTGGTACCAGTCGCGGATCTTCACCTCCAGGTCAGTGTTGGCCTCCTCCAGGGCGCGCACCTTGTCCAGGTAGCTGGCCAGACGGTCATTGAGGTTCTGCATGGTGACTTTCTCACTGCCCACCAGGAGTCCATCTCCACCACCAAAGCCACCACCAAAGCCACCGCCAAAGCCACCACCAAGGCCAGCACCATATCCTCCACCAAAACTGCTGCTGCTGAAGCCCCCTCCGTAGCTGCTCCCAATCCCACAGGCTCCCCCAGAGGAGAAGCGAGAGGAGCTGACTGACAGGCCCCCATAGGTGCTGGGAGCCCGGCAGGATCCTCCAGCCAGGACAGAGGAGATGCGGCTAGAGCCGCCACCGATGCCACAGGAGCCCTTCATGGAGCTGGAGGAGGTGAACTGGCGGCTGCAGGTGGTCATGGTGTGGAGAAAGCCGAGAGTGTGAGCTAGTCAGCGAGCAATGAGCAAGTGAGTCGGCAGAGGGAAGAGAGTGCTGCTCAGGTGAGTTAGAAAACGATGATAGGGCTTTATAGCGGTGAGTAGGGGGCGGACCTGGCGGTTTCCATTCCCCTTGGCTTTCATCACTCACGGGCCAGGGCCAACTCCCCATCAGATCCCTCCCCTCCTCCGCCTCGTCATGTCTGTCATATTTTACTGGAAACTCATTGTTTGAAGTGTTTTGGGCTTTCTCGTCCAGCCAGGTGTGATTCATCAGGAGAGGGAGGGGTGGGCCTGCAGGCTACACTTTCCCATGAGGCCCTAGGAGCCACAGCCCTTAGGAACCCGCGCTCTGGGCTCAACTTGGATGACAGAGTAGTGCCTTACCATAAACCTGCTGACCTGTTAGTTCCCATTAAGTGGGGGGGGGGGTCCTTTATTACACATAGAGCAAGTCCACCATAGCAGGAGACAGGCATCTGGCTAGGGGTACACCAGCATGGCCACCCTCAGCACTACCTGCTAAGGATCAACCATGCTAAAGGGTCTGTCACAGCCTCAACCATCCAGGTGACTCAGACTCCAGGCAGTTCCCCTCAGCCCTGGTACAGACCCTAATCTACCACACACTTGCACACAGACCTGTGGCATTAGCTAGTAGGTCACCAAAGGTCTCACAGACACAGAGAGAGACACCGAGAAAGAGCCTAGAGTCAGGTACAACCCGGGATATGATGCTTCTCAGAGCCTCAGTTTGCCCTTCCGGAAAGTGGGAGCAAAGAGCACCCACCCACTGTTTGTACTACAGACGGCTCTGGGGGTCCAATGGGACAATGATGTGGGAGGTTTTTGTCAACTTTGTGTGGCATGGAGTCTGGCCAGAGGGTTAGACCTTATTTTGGTCTCAAAGCATGTGAGGTCACATGCCTGGGACAAGGCAAACTTTTTTGTTTGCAGCCCCAGATGACCCCTCAGATGCCAAGAGAGTTGAGGTGGGAGGCAGAGCTGACTCAGTCACCTGCATTCGATCCCTCATGGAGCTCACCCAAGACATGTGTCAGGGAGGAATGCAGGCCCCTTCGAGTGCACCAAGGGCATAGTCAAAGTGAACATGAGGGTCCCTGACTCCTGAGTCCCCGAGGGCCAGAGGACATCTCCTCTGCTGCAGAGGTTTATATATCAAACTTCAGTTATCCCGTGTCTAACATGATTGAAAAACTCCCAGAACACCCACTTCCTGTCCCCCACACCCTCCTGCCAGCCCCTCAGGCCCATGGACCCCAGCAGGCATGTTGAGAGGAATGTGGTCGTGTCTGGGACTGCCTGGCATGTCCCATCTTCCCAGACAGGCCCCAACAACCCCCGCTGAGGCTCCTACACTCTCCTTAGTATCATCTGCTCCCAGAAGGGAAGCAGTACCACAGACAGTCAACCCCACCTGACCCTGCCTGCCACCAAAACAGAAGTCAACACCCTCCCCACAAAAGGGCTTAAGAGCTTAGAAGACAATGCTAAGGCAGACTGTTGAGGCTGAGGGCTCCCCCAAATCTGCCTCTCTAAGGACTAGCAAGGATATGAGTAACCTGGGGCCCCACCCGGCTCCACCCACCCCCGACAGACACTTCTAATCTCCTTCCAGAGAATATTCTCCACAACCCTGGCCCAGCCCTTCAATTTCCCCAAGATGAGGCAGAGGGGATTTGGACTGAGAGACCGATACTTCTGTTGGAAAGTGTGTTGTTGTTGAGTGGGGGGGTCTCCTTCTTGGAGAAGAAGACAGAATTAAGGGAGATCCACAGAGAAGGGCAGGATGCAGAATCCAACCCCAGCTTCTTTAGTGACCAAACACTGTCCACCAAGAAAAGCTCTGCACCCCGTCAGTCGGTGGGACTCCAAGGAGCCTCTCTCCTGGTGCTCCTCCTCCACCACCTCAGCCTCTCCTCCCTCTGCTCTTCCCCCTCCTCCTTCCCTCCCACCCTGCTCCTCCATCTTATCCAAGGGGACCATGACCATAAAGATAGTAGGGAATGAATGTCAGATAAACACACATATTCTAAGAGGAGACCCTTGCCAGCCCTCCCCACCCTAGACTCTGGTCCCCCAGGTAGAGTACAGCAAGGTCAGCAGACAGACTCCATGGTCAAGGAGCTGCCAAAAGCCCAAACAGTTGGGGGACAGGAACAAGACAGCACTCTCCTATCCCCATGGTGTTGGTGATGATATTTTCAGGACAGGCAGTCTCTGAGGCAGCAAAGGTTAATGAATTGGAATGGGTGTCACATAGGCACCTCTGCCTGCTGGGACCCGGCATACCCCTACCTCCTGTAAGCATGTTTGTGTGAGCACCATAGCTCCCCCTCCCTCCAGCCTGCCTGGGGAACAGGGAGGGAAGGAGGGGCCTGGGCAGCCAACACTCTGTGGTTAGTGAGTCTCCTACAGCTCCCTGTGGTGGGGAGACCCATGCCAATCCAAACAGCTTAAGGGACTGGGCCAGGCAGCCCCCACACTGCCTCATTGTGTGCTGAGCCCTGGGTGGAGCTAAGGGGTAGCGTCTTCAGAGAGGAGGAGCTGGAGCTGAGAAGAGAGACACAAGCCTTGTCCTAGAAGCCCGCAGTCTAGAGAGAGACATACTAGAAGAGACGGAGCCTGCCTCCAGAAGTCTTTGGCCTTCCAAAGAAAGAGAAAAGGCCTTCAAGGTTGCCTAGTATAGGAGCAAGCCTGAGAAAGCAGAGTACTGGTCACCGACTTCTCGGGCTGCCTGTCCCAAGTCATCACAGACTCAGCAGCATCAACAGCGCAAGCCTAATCCCCCAACTCCGGAAGCCAGATGTCCCCAGGGACGATGCAAGGACCACAAACCCTTCAAAGATCTAGGGAACTAGGGAAGGATCCTTCCAGACCTCCACCAGCTTCTGGCTTCTCCTGGAGTCCCTGGGTTCGTGGCAACAAGACTCCAAACTCTCCCTTTTCCTCCCCCACAGTCTTACTGTGCGCCTGTTCACCTTGTTCTATCTCTCACGGTTGCGCTTATTGGATCTAGTGCCCCCTCAATCCAGTGTGATGTCATCTCAGTCCTTACCTTGTCTGTCCCTGCAGAGACCCTACTTGCAAGTAGCCTTAACTTTGAGAGGGCACTATGCAAACCCTCTGCACCGTGTTAGTAGACCGAGTGCCTATAGCCAGCTGTGGAGGAGGCAGAGAACACTTGGCAGAGATAATTATGATAAGGGGTGGGCAGGGCCGGTCTGGAGGCTTCTCTGGAGAAAGCAGCTTTGGGCTGTACATGTTAGGGTGCTGGGGGCAGGGCAGGCTCCTGGGTCCTGCTCCAGGCTTCCCACTACCCCCTACTTTAGCTCCTTCACAAACACGTAGTTACTCTGAGATAGAGCTGGTTTTACTTTTTGGGCTTGTTTTTAATTTGATTTTGATTTGGGGTTGGTTTTTTGCTTGTTTTCTTTTGTTTGAGACAAGGTCTTCCTATGTAGCCCAGGTTGACCCCAAATTTGTAATTTCTGCACCTACTTCTTACCTCCCGGTGCTGGGATTACCATCCTTTGACACCATGCCTGGCTATTCTTAATTTTTAACTGTAAAATAACTTTAGATTTTCGTAAGTTTTCAAAAAGAAAAACTTGGGGCCGGCTTGGTGGTGCATGCCTGTAATTCTAGTTCTTGGGGGTGGAGGTGAGGGAATCGGTGTGAAGGTCCTGTCAGTCACCTAGTGAGTTTGAGGCCAGCCTGGGCTACATAAGACTCTGTCTCTTCAACAACAATAATAATAAATTTTACAATTGCAAAAAATGAGTTCAGAGAATCAGTTCATACCCAGCCCATCACATGAGCACTGCACAGCTTTCAAAACACTGAACAAACAATGTCATTAGTCAATGACAGGCGCTCCTGGAATTTTTCTGGGATTTCTGAGAGTGTTCCCCCTCTGCTACAGACTATACCTGGGGATCCCATGCTACATCCACTCATCCGGTCCCCTGAGCCCCCTCGGGTCCAGGGCAGCTCCTCCGCCTTCCCTGTCTCCCGTGACCTTCACAACTTTGAACACTATTGACCGTCTCTCTAGTGGAATATCTCCGTTCCAGTTCTCCTGCTTTCCTGTGACCAGACAAGTGCATTTGCCAGGAAACCCACACAGATGATGCTGCATCCTTCAGAGCATCCTATTAGGTCAAAGGACAGATAGATACATTGCTGTGTCTTTGTTGCAGCTAAGTTGATGGTGTGCAGGGGTTAAGACAACCCTGGGTTAGAATTCTCTACCTTAAAATTTCTATTTTACCCTAATAAATATTGTGAAAGAGATACCTAGAGGCTACACACAAGTCTGGTTTCTCCTTCATTTCTGACCCTCTAGTTTATGGTTCCATCAATGGAGGGAAAGAATTCTTATCACTCATTGGGCTCAAGAATCTGTGGCTCCAGGATAGGCCTAGGAGAGGCAGGGGGCCATGTTTAGAGAAAAAATTCTTGGGCTCGCTCCTTGACCCCAAGTCAAGCAGGGTGTCCTGGCGCCAACTCACTGGCTTACTTTTGACAGGCTCTGTGTAGCCAGGCTGGCTTTGAAGTCACAGTAATCCTCCAGCCTCAGCTTCTCCTTAGTTCTGGGGATTATAGACATGCTATTATGTACGATCCAAGCATTTCCCTCAGAGTCTCTTCTTGTCCCCTTCCAGCCCTGTGGGAAAGAAATACACCTGGTCCTCCGCAGTCACAAGTGTAAAATATGATCCCCAGTCCCAAGGTTGGCATTCTCTATTTTTCCTGATAAAAGGACCTTCCTTCTATTCCAGGCCCCAAGCCCCCACCATCCTCATTCCTGCCAAGCCTCAGAGAGAAGTCTCCTAACACAAAGGGCTATCATTTTCAGGGAAGCTGGGATCCAAGCAGCCTCTACTGCGGAGGACAGGAATGGCTAAAGCATTTGGTCCTGAACAGGCCAGCAGACAGGGAGGTAGGTAAGGAGCCAATCAGAAGCCTAGAATACTTCCCCAAGCCTAGAGTCTACTTTTCTCCAGAGAGTTATGCCATTGACTGGTTGCTGGTCTCCCAGGTCAGCCTGTCCATCT